AAATTCAAATTGCAAGCTTACCAGGAGTTGTACCAATGAAAGGGGAAATATTTTCTTCTATCTTACTATAATACATGGAATCTGTTTGCCTGCAATTAAGAGTTGCGCAATAAAATTTGACAAACACATTTTGGCTCCTTGAAAATTATCTCCATCACATTATGTCTTCATGTTGCCAAGCAACCACCTCCCTACCAACGGGCTTAAACTGTACTCTTTATAGCATTGTATGATATTAAATTTCACAACGCTAAGATGTTGTTTATAGCCACAAAATTAGGACGATGCCTCCTATGACACGTGTTGTTGCCTAGCAACCACCTGACAATGGACTAAAATCACAGACCAAATAATACTGCGCCATGAGCATGTACTAGTGTTATTGAATGCATGAGTTAAATGTGACTGAAGGAACCCACCTTAAATCTTAATAGGACAAGTTTGCTTTGTTTTGATTGGCCGTCTTTCATTTCATACTTTAGAGATGATTGTGTCCTCGAAAGTTTAAAAAGATTATTGGATTATGCAAACTTACGTTATTGGTTTCCTCTGAAGGGGAAAAGTACGCCTTCTGTATCGTCTTTAGTAGCTTTTTGTATGCTTTGTGAATGACTTGTCCTCAGCAGGATTTAGTTACAGCTTTAAGGGTGAATTCATAACAGATTGAATATTCAGGAATTTTATTATAATATTTTTGCTCTGAGTAATACTATCTGGATTCAGGATGGTGAGTAATGAGTTTTTGATTTCTGATTTTCATAAAGTTTCTTCTTTTCTTAATCTGATAAAGACCAGCTGGTGTGCAGAGGAGCTAGAAAGTGAAGAGCTAAATGAAATGGAGGACTGCAAACCGGTATTTTAGATTTAGATTTTTTTATTTAAAATTTGTCATATTTGTGTTTTATAACATTACCATTAAAATCTTTGAAACAAGGTATGATGCAACAAAAAGACACTTGGACTCTTTTTTATTTATTTTTTGCCGAGTGACTTGGAAATTGATTCTGATCTATTCGTGCTGTTAAATACATCTTTGTGCTGTCACCATGACAAATAAAATTGTTTTTTCCCTGCTAGAAAAAATCGAAACCTAAACCTCCCCTTCCTGTGCCACGAAAAGCTAAGACTGCCAATGGACAGAGTGAACTAATCGGATTCAGCTACCACACACCCCAGCATGCATCAAGTGTATGTTTATCTTACAATCATTAGCATAACACACTATTGCTAACACTTATTGAGCTTTGGGTTTCATTTATTTACTTCCTGCTTCTGCAGAATGTGTTTGCTGAGGACTACACGACAGACAGAGATTTCACGAGTCCCGGAGAGATGTATGATGAAGATAAACAGGATGAAGTGGACTTCTACAAACCGGTACTCATTTCACTTCGATTTACTTCTACTGCTTTCTTTTGCCATCATGTAATATATGACTGGAAAATACTTGTTGTTTTTTTTTTCTCCCCTGCCAACAGAAAAAGACCTCAAAACTTCAAAAGTCGCCCAAAAAAGTCCCCAAAAAACTGAAACATAAGGTTTGCTAAACTTTGCAGGAGTTTTTCTTATTGCTGTCTGGTCTTCAGGTACAAGACCGCATCATTACTCTGTCTGTTTTTATAGAACAAAGCCACACATGCAGAGAGTGAAGATCCACCAGGAGCTAGCGACTACCTATCAGAGGCTGCAAGGGTGAGTTTACGGCTTTTAACATGAAAAAAAACTAAATGTTACAAAAGTACTTTGACTTATACAGCAATGAATAGTCTGTCCATAATCCTTATCTAATCACACCAGTATTGATGTCCTAATAAGAAGCATTTACTTCCTCTCAGGTTATTCTGGAATGTGATACACATTCTTGACTTGGCTTTGAGTTTGATAACTTTAGGCTCAGTTAAAAC